AGTGGTGTTACTTTTTGTAACCTAAGCTATGACTGCATCCTTGACATTTTGTAATATTTTATGAAAATTTAATGTATCTTAATATCTTGTAGGAAATAGTTTAAAATATTCATCCATTGAACAATTCACAATTTCAAGGCTGCCAAAAGAAACATACCTTTCATATTGTATATTCGACTTTGAAATTTTTATAGCTCTACATTTCTCAATGCCTTCAACTTTTCCTGTATTTTCAAGCATCCTCTACTTCTGTCTCACAGGAAAATGTCTCTCTACAAAGGTTAAGAATAACTTCACCGTGGTCTTGAATGCATCCTTTTTTGCCTTTACCTCATTATTTCCTTAGTTAACTCATCTCTTGCTTATATATAGGCTCTTTATCAATATCTCGTTTTTGTTTTTTTCTATCTTAAAAACACACATATACAGACTAAAGTCTTTCTCTGGACTCTGACATTTCTTTCCTGTATTGTGTTGCTTTTTTCATGCATTTATTACACAAAAATGATTATCATCAGTAATTTCATTTCTTACTTACTTTTATATTTGCTATTTTGATTCCATTTCTATCAGGTTGCTAAAATTGCTTCCAATTCGTCAATCTCCTAAATCTCCACAGTTATTTACTCAAGTCTCCACTCTCAATCTGAAAACTTTTCTTCCACATTCTTAAAAAACCTCTTATCATTAAAATTTTTCTTTTTTTTTTAAATTTGTTTCTTCTACTGGTTGAAAGTCTGCTGGACAGGCTCTCCATAAATCATATCTTTCTTCATATTTTCTTTTATGTCTATGTATGCTATGTTCTAGATTTCTTTAATTTAATCTCCAGTACTTCCACTAAAAATTTTATTTAAGTAATCATGTTTTTAAGTGTCTCAGAACTCTACTTCATCGTATGGTTGCTCCTTTTTCAGAGTACCCTGTTTGAATATTATAGATAGAATGTACTCTGAATACTGGAGTACATAAATTGAGGTGCTTTTAAAAAAATGTCTTTAATTTTATTAATTATATTTGCTTCCTTTAGAGTTAGTTTTTCTGTTTTTCTTTGTCTTTTTCATAATGCTGTTTTCCTGATTTACCTGTTGATTCTTCATTGTATGTTCATATATATATATATATATATATATATAGAGAGAGAGAGAGAGAGAGAACTGGTCATTGATGTGGTTTTCCTTTGCTTTTAGTAGGTAAGATATCTTCCAGTTCTCTCTCCTATATGGGAATTGTGAATACGTGGCTGGGTTGGGCCTGGCAGGGACAGGAATGCCAAACATCAAGTTTCACTTTAGCATGAGTAGGCAAGTAGCTGGATGTTGGCCCTGAATGCCAGAATAAGAATGGTTTTAATCTGTGTTCTCAACGTAAAAGCTTTCACCTCCTTTCTCCTATTTATGCAATTAATTTAGATAAGACTTTGCGTCTCATTTGGTTTCTGTTTTTTTCTGGTGGCAGCTGTCTTTGCCTGCTCTCAGGGTTTATAAATGAGAGAAGTAAATGTGTATGGTGATTGATTCAATTATACCATATTTAGAATGTATCCTCATTTTCAGCCCTTATTTTCACTTCTGCCCTCTGCCATACCTCCAAACAACTCTTTTGTAGCTTCTTCACTATATTTTAGGCAATGGTTTTGGGTGTTATTACTAGTCAAAATACTATTAGCTTTGTTTTCCAGAAAATGATTGAAATTTCATTTACTTTACTTCCCTTCTCCACCTACTATCCTTCCCTCCACATAAGTGCATACATACAAACACATATCTTTACTCTTATTTATTCCTCGGTTGTTCTACTTCTACATATTTATTTCAGTAGAGTCCAGGAAAGAATAGTAGGCAAAGTACAGAGGGTGCCAAAAAAATGTATACATGTTTTAAGAAAGGAAAAAACTGTCTTAAAATTATGCTGATGGTAACCACTTTGAGCACCTCTTGTAATTGCAGAAGTCAAACATGACTTGTATTCATCTTTTGTTATCAGTATATATTGAGTATTACAATTTTAATACAGTTTTTCCTTTCTTAAAATGTGTATACATTTTTTTGGCACCCTCTGTATATGCCTACTCCACCATCAAGAACAGTAAGCCAAGAAAAACTCTCTTTATTTTATAAGAAAAACGGTGTCTCCTATGGTAGTGATCTAACTTTTTTTCCTTCCCAAAATCATTTATTAAGAATGTTAGGGGAGCTTATTTTAGAGCTGAGTCTTTTAGTAATCAGTATCACTGAGAGGTTAGGAGGCAGCTCCAGATAAGGAATTGCCCAGAAAAGATGGAATTTTAAGATCCAATGTTGCAAGCTGTGGTAGAGAAGTGGGACAATGGACTAAGAACAGGTAAAACCAAAAAGGCCTGTAAGTTAGGCTGTGGGACACAGATGAGCTGAGCCCACCTGGTGGATATACATACTGAAGTAGATACTAAGAGACTAATGGAATACAGATAAACACGGAGTTTTGTCAACCCATCCTGACAACCCATAAGGTGACTAGCCTGAGAATAAACAGATACCATGCTAAGGAAGATGGAATACAAGAGATGAAAAGAGCCAAAAACATGGATGACTTTGTTGAATCATTGAAAATGTGTTGGGAATACTTTCACCTTGAGATTTTTCTGTTTTTGAGACAATTTTAAGATAATTAAGGCACTCTTAGTCAAATGATCTCGTTCCACACACACACACACACACACACACACACATATATATAATTTTACATATGAGAGTTCATATTGTTCATATAGTTTTGCAAACTACTTAGTTGTACATCTTGATATATTCCCATATCCATCAATACAGATTCATGTCATTTTTTTAATGCCTAAAGTACTCCACTTTAAAGATACACTATAATTAATTTAAATTAATCCCCTATTGAACATTTTTTGGTATAATCCATTTTTAAGTACAGTGAGTTTTAATTGGTCGCTTAACTACTATTAATTTCAATCTACTGTACTCAATATTGCCAAGATAATCTTACAATCCTATTCTGTAACTGCCAAGTCCTAATTGCCTACAGTACGAAATTCCTTAAATTCAGAATTCAGTCTCCTAACAAATAGTTTCTATCTAACTTTAATGTTACTATCATTGCCTTCTAAAAAGAACCTTCCATTATAGACAAACAGTTAAAAGCTCACTATCATAGAATGCATCTGCAGTCTTGTTTCCTTGTCTTTGCTTATGGCATACTTTCTGGACAGTCTTCCTTCTCTTCATTAGGAATCTTGTCATCAGACTGTCTTTCCACTAAACCTTTTGGAAAACCCTCCCAGGGACTACAAAGAGGACAAAGATAAAATTTTCTAGTAGCCACATTAAAAAAGGAACAATAAACAGGTGAAATTAATTTTAATATATTGACCCAATAGATCCCAAATAATATTTCAACAGGTAGTTAATATAAGAATTAAGATATTTTACTCTTTTTTTGGTACTAAGTCTTCAGAATCTGGTGTGTATTTTGCTCTTATTTGCATGTCTCAATTTAGATCGGCCACATTTCAAATGTAAATAGCCACATTTGGCTAGTGGCTATCCTACTGAACAGGGGCAGCTCTAGACACAGTCTATTTTCATTTCCTCCTTCTCCCTTAAGCCTCTGGAACTGTAATAAGAACAATGTGCCATGTGAATTCCTAGCACATATTGTTGGTACCTCTCATCACATGGCCTTATCACATGCATTATTTACCGTTTGATACATTTGTCTTCTCTCGTAAGCTAACCTGTACATTCTTTTAAGGCTGGGACTATGGACTATTGGATCTCAAGATTGCAAGTAACTTTAACGAAACCATCAACTAATTTGTCTCTTGATGCATGGCTCCCCTACACTTAGTTTCTTTTGAGTAAGCCTTTGGAATCTACTTCAAGTTAAATCCTGTGGTCAGGGAATCCACGCATCTTAAGGCAGGCAACTTCTCTGGCTAGTGCTAGAAGGGGATCTTCTTTTCAGGATCTGAAGTCTCTTTCTTTCAAGTGTGCATCTCTTGAGACCACATGAAACAAATCTATGTCATATAATGAGTCTTTGCCTACTGGAAATAACAACAGTAGCTTTCTCTCTTCTATGACGATCCTCCCAAGTTCAATCACGACTTTTTCATTTGTCATGCTTTTGAGTTCTCTTCACCATTTTGCTCTTCTCTGAAATAATTCCAACTTCTTTGAGGTCGTCTTAAAGTGCCCAATTTAGACCTGAACACATAGCCCCAAATGTGGTTTTGCCAGTGAAAGGTATGATTGATCACTATTGGCTGCCTCTATAAAACTCAGCTCTACTAGGCCTTTAAGATACTTTCCTATGAGAAGGGCGGATGAGGGAGAACAAGGGAGCCGCAGCACATCATTAACTCATACCATCTTTGCATGCCTGGATTTTAGTTCAGAACTGTGTACACACATACACCACACAGTTCTTGAGGTTAGTTCATTTTTCTTAATGTCGTCTTCCTGTCTTTTCAATTGAGTCAGGGAGTCATCAGGCATTTTGTTTTTGGAGAGGGTCGCCCCACCCAAGGACCGACAATTAGAGATAAAGAGAACTGAGAATCCAAAAAGCTTAGGGAAAGCGGGACTTGAGACCAGGGAACCCTGTATAAAGTGTTCCGCAGCAAGGAGCTCTGGTTGGTGATGACGATGGCTGACCATTACTTGGTTCTTCAATTCATACTCAGGGCTCTTCTCTCCCTTACCTTTGAGAGGAATTATTTCCCCCAAGTCTTCACCTTACAGAGAACAGGCAGAAGATGCAGCCTACTTAAGTAATTGCCAGGGATAGCTCGCAGGTAGTGAGTTGGGGGAGACAGCCCCGGCGGGGTAGGGCGACGCACCAGGCTGCAGAATCCCGGAAAAGCGCGCGCCCGCGCCCGTGCCCGTCCGGGAGCGCGCCCTCGCCTCAGGCCGGGTCCTACTCGGAGGACTGTGGGCGGGAGGCGGGGCGTCGGCGCGCGCACGCGGGCGGGGTGGGACAGGAGGGAGCCGACGTGCCGACGTTTGCGCCGCTGCGGGCGGGTGACGTGTAGGCCCGCGCCAGCTCCTCCTGGTCCCTGCTTGCCGGGTCTGTGGATCGGTCCGAAGGTCGCCCGTCTGCCGGTGGTCGTGCTCGGTGTCCTGTGACTCGGAGCGATCTGGGTAAGCCCGGCGTAGGGATCGGACGAGGGCGTAGCGGTGTGGTGCCGGCCGGCATCTTCAGCCCTGCCCTGCACTCCATACCTGGCATGGGAAGTAAAAATAAAACCGAAAGGGAGGGAGGAGCGGAGCAGGAGTTGACTGAGTGATGGGAAGAGCGTGAGCGGGGCGTAGAGGTAGGAGGTGGGAAGCAAAGGGCTCCGAGGCCCGGAGAGGTGGGGACTGCGGGGTGGGCAACGCGACCCGAGCGACCCCTCGGGGGATTCTCAGTCGGCTCCGAGGCGAACTCCGTGCTGTCATCCCTCTCGGGGCCTGAAGGCGTGTCCCGGGTCTCCGGCAGTCTCGTCCCATTCGTGGAATTTGCAGGTGGGGGTGGGGATCGAAAAAACGAACAGAGCTATATATTGCCCAGGTGTTAGGCCACAACGTGATGACCACATGGGGTGATTTTTCTTTTATGAGCGTGGGTAATTTGTTTTTATTAGTTTTTTTTTCCCCTCCCTGTTCCAAAGCCGTGCTAACTTTTTCCTTTTCTTCACGTAGACTTTGGGGGAGAAATCTACTTCCTTATGTTTTTTACCCCTACAGTGAAAAGTAAATAGACTGGGTAGGGAGTTGACCATGGTGAAGTGTGAGTGAATTTAGCAATGCATGAGCCCAGAATGTCATTATGAAATACTGTGTGTGTGTGTGTGTGTGTGTGTGTGTGTTCGTGTTCATTCGTGTGTTCGTGCACACTGGGGAGGTGGTGTGGGTACGTGGGCAGTTGTTTTTAAGTAGGCTTCTTATCAGAAATTAACTTATTCATTGAATGCAGTGTGTTTGTGTATTTTGCTATTCTTTTATTTAAAAGAAGCATAATTTTAGCGGTAGCCAGAAGTTTGATGAGAATGAATCACACGTGCAGTTCAAACGAGTAGTCATATGTTCTTTCTTTCCATAAGTTAGATTGAATAGCCGATATTTCTATCACCAGATTTCATGTTTCATAGATTGAAATAATTTTTCTGATTTTTAAAGTGTTGTCAAAAGTTGAGAATTCAGCTTTTGATTCTATTCTGGATTGTACTCCTGTTCATGTATTTTTAATGAAGGTTATAATAATAGTCTAGCATTAGAAAAAGCCTTCATAGAGATGCCAGTTAAGTGTAGGCTGAATAATCTTGAGTGAATTAATTTTTTTATGGTTTAGCCTTCTTGATGCTTGCTGAACCGTTTTCTTTTATCATTCAGTCATTCATGCCTTCATGTGTGCCAGGCACTGTACGAGGCCTAGGAACTCAAGATAGGGTCTGTGCTTATGGAACTTTCTCTAGCCCAGCACCCTTGTACTAGAGAATCTTGACTAGGGTTCCTCTTCAGATCATGGATCTCCAGTTGACCAAAACAAGGATTTTTGCAAGAATAAGTTACTGTCAGTGTTTATATGTAACTTGCATTGAAAAGAGGAGCAGATCATTTTATTTGAAGCGTGAGTTGGGTTTTTTTTTGCCTTTGATCAAACAGATAGTATACATGTCAGTATTTTGCCAGTTAAGAAGAGTGAGTTTTTCCTTTTGCATAGTTGACTTAATTATAAAGTCCATCCACTTTTCTCTAAATCACTACCATTACTTCCGTTCTACAATAAAACCCATCATCTTCCTCTTTCATCTGGATTGCTGCAACAGCCTCCTGGTATCTTCTTCCAGGTCTTGTCTTCTGTGTTCCATTCCCTTCACGACAGTCATAGTAATCCTTATTAAACACAGTTCAATTCAAAAACTGTATTGGAAATTTCTTTTACTATTAGAATAATTTCTAAACAATGTGACTTAGAAGGCCTTTCATGACCTGTTTCTTACTTGTCTCTCAGCTCCATCTCTTATCACATTAGTTGTTGACCACGCCACTGCAGACATCTTTTCAGTTCCTTGAATGTGAAATGTTCTCACCCTTTAGCTAGAATATGTTGCTTTCTTTACCTGACCAGCTCTTCATCCTTGAAGTCTCAATTTAAGAAAGCTGTTTCCCTTTCCAAACCCCCTTTCTGTGTTCTGAGCACAATCTTTACTGCCCTCTTTTATATAAGTCTTATTTTGTGTTGATACAGTTTGTTTAATTGACTTGTCTTACCCACCAGACTGAGCTTCACAAGAGCAGGTCCCATATTAATTTTGCTCACCATGGTCACTCACCTGCTATCTAGCATGTAGTAGAAATACTAGTTAAGAATTGTCAGTTAAATGAGTGAAAGCTGTTCCTACACTCTTCTATTATGATTTTCCTTATGTGCTAACTCCTATCATAGTTTTTTTTAGCAACTATTGACTTTTCTTTTACCTTTGTTTTGCTTTCTGCTTTATTAGCTTGAGATTTTGAAAATGCTTACTCAAATACTACTTTTGCAATTAAATTTCTGCATGTGTAAGTGCTTGAGTTTTTTGAGAAGATTGGCATCATGAATTGAATAAATCACATTAGATTTTAATTTTTTGTGTGTTTGAGTAAACTTCCTAGTTTGTAGACAAAATATCATCTTTTTAAGGACTGAAATAAATAATTAAACTAATCTCTGTGAAAAAATATTTTTGAAGCCTTGAAATAAAGATGATATAAACATTAAAAAAATAAATATATGGGAATCCAGACATTGAAATACAATAATACTTTGGTTTGCGAGCATAATTCATTCCGGAAACAAACTACCCATACTGCAAGACATCGCTCGTTTACCAAGTTAAAATGTATTGGAAATGTTTGCTCATCTTGTGGAACACTCGCAAACAAGTTACTCGCATTCCAAGGTTTTACTGCACTGCCTTTCGGTTTTTTGTTTTGTTTTGTTCTTCGTTTTTTGGGTTGTTGTGGTTTTTTTTGTGACAGCTTTGGCTTCCCTTTTTCTTTCCTATCAATACCTCTATCTAGCCATTATACAAATATTTATTGAGAACCTGTGCCTCGCACTGTTTTAGGTGCTGTGGATATTTCAGTGAACAAAGTAAAGTTCCCATCCTCATGGGACTCATATTCTACTGGATGAAGCTGATAACAGACACAAAATACATGTGTCATGTGATAAGTGCTTAAGTGCTACAAAGGAAAGTGGGTTGTGTGCAAGAGAAGGATCAAGGATGAGGATGCTGTTTTAGATAGGTTGGTCAGAGGAGGCTTCTCTGGTCAAGAGACATTTGAGCAAGACCTGAGAGAGATTACCTATGTGGCATCTGGGGGAAGAGTTTCATGCAGGAGATCTACTTTGGTATAGTTATATCACTGGAAGGAAGGCCAATGTAGATGCTCCAAAATGAGCAAGAGGGAGAGTTATAGGAGATCAAATCAAAACATACGAAAAAGCCTAGTTCTTTGAGGGTTTTGATGGAAACCTTTGGAAGATTTTGGACAGAGGAAGCCACAATATTACTTGTTTTAGGAAAGAATCATTCTTGTTTACATGTGGAAACAAAACTGTTAAGGTTTTGTTAAAACTGTTAGGGTAAAAGCAGACTAGAATAGGCACTTGCAATAATCCAGGGAAGAGATGATAATAATGAGAAGTAGTCAAATTTTGGATATATTTTGAAGGTAGAGTTGAGAGAATTTGCTGATGAATTGAGTACACTAAAGCATAACTCCAAGTGTTTTGTCCTGAGCAACAGGCAGAATGAGTTTGGTTTATGAAGTGAGGTAGACCACAGGAGGAGGTTTGCAGTGGGAGGTCACTTTTGACATTTTTAAGTTTGAGCTAGCTATTAGACATCCAAGTGGAAAAGGCAGTGGGTACACAAATCTGGAATACAAGTGAGATGTGCGGGATGGAGATAAGAATTTGGTATTAGTTAGAATATAAGTGATACTTAAAGCCTTGGGACTGAATGAGATCACCTGGGGAATAGGATCACCTGAGTGTAGCTAGAGAAAAGATTTGAGCACTGAACTTAGGGGCACAACAATGTTTAAAGGATAGGAGGATGAGGAGGAATCAACTGGAGAGGAAAGTGCCAGTAATGCAGGAGAAAAACCAAGAAATACTGGTGGCCTAAGATGCCAAGCGAAGCAATTGTATCTAGAAAGCCTGGGCCAAAAACTTCTGACGTATCAAACAAGTACTGAAAAGTAACATTGAATTTGGCTATGTTGAGGTTATTTGTGACCTTAATAGCTCTTTTGGTGGAGCAGTGAAGAGAAAAGCCTGATTGGACTGGAGTTTTTGCCGTAGATAGGGAGCGCAGAAGTGGGTGTCAGTGAAGAGGGCTGTGGATTCAGCAGAGATTTTTCAATAAGGGAGCTACAGCTGCATAATTTTAGGCTTAGGAAATGATCCAGTGGAGAAGAAAATGTTACTAATAAGGAGAGAGGGCAAGGTTTCACTCCTACAACATTATCACTGTATCCCCACTGAATACATTTTTCTTCAATGAATTGATGAATGAATGGATAAAAGTGTTTTTACCAGCTGCATATACATTTTTTTATAAGAGCTGAATTAAAAGTGGGATGAAGAACACTTAAGTTAATACCTCCATTTTCAGATGGTTGTGAGAATTAATTCGGTTTCAGCCTTCCTTGGCTAAATTACCATCTTGAAATTTCTTTTTTTTTACCCTGGTCAACTTGGTGTTTCTCAAGTCTTTGAAGCTGCCCTGACAAATGCCCTATTAAGGTGTGTCACCACTTGGGACTTGTCTAATCTTTTATTTTGTGTTCATTTTTCCCATTTAAACTTTTAAAAGTTGGTAACTATTTCAAAAATGTGAAGACCTCTTATGTACTATTATATTACCCTTGATTTAAGAAGATACAGTGTTTGCCAGAGAGTGAAGGACGACAGATTTTTAAATGTTCAGATTATGGTTACCAAATAAAATATAGGATGCAGAATTAAATTCGAATATCAAGTAAAGAACAAATAACTTTTTTAGTATAAGTATGTCCCATGCAAGTATGACCGAAATACTAAATGGAACATATTATAGTAAATTATTTGTTGTTTACCTGAAATTCAAATTTAACTTTATATCCTA